AGCCACAGCGTAACATGTGCGCAGCAGAGCCCCGGCCAGGGCCGGGCTCCAGATGAGCTCCCTGCCTGCTGACTGCTCTGGCTGGAGAAGGGCGGACAGCCAGGGAACGGAGGCCCGAGCTCTGAACAGCACTGTAGGCTGGGTGGGTCAGCAGCAGCGCCGTGAAGGCAAGGGATGGCTCTGTGGGGGAGGGCTCTGGTGCTGCCCTCGAGATGGGCCTGTGGGAAGGAGTAACCTTGACTCCCACAGGCGATGCAGCTAAGGACCCCAGTGTGGGGCTGTGCTTCATCCATCCCCAGCTCTGAGGAGTACAAGAGATCTATGGTGCCTTGGCTCCACTCATCCCTCCTGTCTTGCTGGGGCACCAGGAGGAGGGTGTGAAATAGCAAGGCCTTGATGCCCATCTCACCTGATCGCTTGTTTTTTTCAGCTATGGACCTACATTTTCCCCAGCCTTCCTTTCGTCATTGATGCACTTATAGAAGCCCTTCTTCTTGCCTTTGACATCCTTTGCTGGATTCAAATCCAGTTGGGAATGAGATGCCAACAGCTGCATTTCCATGTAATTACACCGATCAGTGAGTGATCTTGGTTGAAGATGACCCAGATGTGTTCCCTGAGCCCCACTGTGGTAGCAGCCTTTCCTATATCTATCAACAAAGTCTTCAAAACACAGTATCGGGCTCACCCCGGGTTCCTTAACACATCCTTGGGTCCCAAGGACGTGCCATTTCATTTGCATCCGTTATCTTACAGAAGGGATGTATTTCTCCTGTCACTTTCATCCAGATCCTTTCCCTGGTCACTGCCCCCAGGCAAAGCACTACTCATGAACCTCTCCCCTCGGAGCCTGCATTCCAACCTGTCTTTCACCCACCCAGTTGTCCAGCCCTCCAAGATATAACATCCTGCCTTGGATATGAGGACTGTGGAGAAGGTGTTAAAATCCTTCCTAAAGTCAAGGCAATTGTCACCCACAGCTGTCAGCCCTTCGACCTCAGATCCCATCATGGCATTGCAGGGAGTAAACAGGATGGTCAATCTATGATGGCTCTTCCCTCACAGGATCCTCCATGTGGCCAAAAGCATGCTCTGAGAGGACTCACTCCATGATTCTCCCAGGGACCAAAGTGTGGCTGTAAAGTCTCTCTCCATCTTTCTTGTAGGCTCCTTCAGGTACTGAAAGGTCACAGTTAGGTCACCCCAGAGCCTTCTCTAGCTGAACAATCCCAATTCTCTTAGCACATGCCACCTTTTGCATTGCAGCTTAGCCCTGAGGCCCCCGCTTAGCCCAGGCCATCTGCTGACATGTCTCCTTGTTTTCCTGAGCAGTGGGATGGACTGCTCTGGAGTGTGCTGTCCTGAAGGCTTGCCAGCTTTCATGAGCTCCTTTGGCCTTCAGTGCAGCCTCCCATGGGATCCCTCCCACCAACCCTGTATAAGCTGAAGTCTTGCAGTCCAGGGTCTGTACTCTGCTGCACTCCTTCATCATCCCTTTAGGATCCTGAATCTGCTGCTTCATGGCCACTGCAGTCACAGCTGCTGCTAACTACCACATCCCCAGTCAGAGCTCCCTTTTAGCGAGCAGCAGATCCAGCTGTGTGCCACCCCTGCTTGGCCTGGGGCATTGGAATTCTTTGAGACCTCTGTGATCAGAGGCTTCCCTGGGTACTGCTGCCTCCTCAGCAGCTTCAGCTCAGGGATTTCCTGGCCGAGTATTGATGTCCTTGTGCTTAAAGCCCTTAGTGGCTGTGAGGGCTCTGTTCAGGAGTCAGAGGTGCAGGGGCTGTAGGGGTTCCATTCAGGCTCAGAGCTCTGACTCCTGCTCCCACATATTCAAGCAGCAAGGGTGACACAGCCCCCAGTGTTTCCTAGGCAGTTCCATAGGCAACTTGACCCTGTTTCCCTCTATTTTTCAAGCAAACATCAGGAGCCTCATGAGTGAACTACAGTAAAACCAGCTGTGCATCCGAGACTTGGGGTGGATGCTAAATACAGAGCCTGGGGCTGCCCTGCATTAGCTTCTAGCAAAGTTCCTGGAAAAATGTTCAGACTTGGTTTAAAAATTTCCAGGAGTGGTGAACTCACCACAAGCCTTGATGAGCCCTTTTGGTGGCTAATTACCCTCACAGCAAAAAATGTGCCTCCATCCCAGACCGTGCATGCTCTGAGCCTGCAGCCATGCGTGACACCTGAAGTGAGGTGGCCGCTGTACCTGGTGGCTGGT